ATTATGTTGTCTTTCTGAACGCAAGCTAAGGGTTGACATTGTTAAAGGGCTTATCTCATACCCAAGTTTTAAATGATTTCAAATTGGTGTAATCTATAGTGCAAGAGGCATCTTTATGTCTTTATTTCAGATAATTTGAATTTGCATTAGCAATATCAAATCCATCTAATCTGCCCGGAGCATTATGTATCTACGATACTACATCTACAATGCAAAATCCAGTCGATAATATTTTTTATTCATCAGATTCACTTCTATCAGGTAGAAGATTCTCCCATATTTGCTGGTTATTTAATTCGAGGGAGACTCCAGGGTATGTAGTGAGGGAGGAGGTTAAGGTGGATGCAGTAAGGGTGGTGGCTAGGAGAAGAGCGGTGAACGAGGAAAGGATAGAAGGAACACCGCATTGCAGAATCCTGGGAGAGTACTGGAAATGTCGATTGAAGACATTTTTTATATTTTGACATACCTAATAGGTGACAAATCTTGACAGATTTATAACATCATCGTGCATAATATCGTAAAAGAAGCTTTATACAACAAGCTTTTATGTATAGTAAATTTTATAAACTCACTGTAACTTAAAATAAATTACAATTCTTCAACAAGATTTAAGAACAATTAATAAAGTTGGTGGAGCTAAATACACGAAAGTTCTGTAAGAAGTTACAATTAAAAGAATATTTTAGAAAAAAATGTTGTTATTTTCGTAACAGATTATGTAAAATATTTCGACTACTTCGTTCGTGCGTTCGATTTGAACGAGCTTACTAGAACTTGATCCAGGATTTGCGAAAACGTTACCGGTGAAACTAACTTCGAAACTGATCCTATACTTGAAATCCGGGCGATTTCCTTTAAACTCCCTTTAAGATATTGTTATCTTACAATAACTTAATTGTTTAATAGTTGTACTATGTTGTATGTAAGATACCGTAGGGGATATTATATTGATTATTAAAGTTGTGCCGGAAATAGCGTTTTAAGCTCATTTGACATTTTATCAATCAAATGTTGGATTAAAGAGCCTGGATTGAAGAGATTATTTTGTCAAGCTATCGATTTGGTTAAGCCGGTTATATTTCATCTATTTAACACGATTTTGCTCATTTCTTAATTATTAAACCTTGTCTTTGAAGAGATCCAGCTGCATTTGACACTTAATTTATCTTAAACACTCTTCTAGGAATAATAGCAAACATTTTTTTTAAAGGATACAAACAACTTTTAATTAACTTTAATTAATTTAATTATAACGAAGGGTTAGCCTAACGTTTCAACAGACAGGAGGAATTTTAGTAGCGATTAGTTTGGGCTTTAGGGTATGTTTAAGGATTCCTTTCTATTTTTAGATAATATTTTTAAGATATATTTTCTTGGAAATAAATCGATCTTTTTACGTATTCATACAATTTCAATGCAAAGAAACTATGTACTAGACGAGCAAATCCAAGCAATTTGCATATGAAACCGTCTCGTTTGAGTTTGATGGTGGTAAATTAAGAGAAACTGGGGCGGAACAATTTATTTTAGACAATGTGGGTGTTTGGAGGAAAAATTTACCGCTGATTTACATTCAATCTTTATAAAATCGAATTTAGACTACTCCAGCTTATTTTTTTAAATATGACGAGTTGGAGTTGTGTCGAGAGATATTAAATTTCCATTTCTAAAAGAATATTGAATTTAAAATTTACCTTTTTTCAATCGCTTTTCATTGATAGAATGACTCTCATAGAATTTTTTTGATAAAAAGTACTGATTTTAAAGTGAAATATTGCGTTTCAAACGTGTTGCTTGGAATTTAATAAAAATTTTTTACTGTCACATTGCAACAAAACGTTTATAAATAAAAAATTACATTTTACGTTTATCTAGTTAAACCAAAAACTTCAACTATGTGATTAAACTTTCAATTTAAATTTAAGGATTTTCGTCACGTAACATACTAGAAAACGTGACTTAAAGATCTCTAGATATTTTGACCATTGTAATCATGAAGATTAAGGATTTCGTTTTCAACACGTGTCCCAATGGAAAAAATGTGTAAAAAAAAGTTTCGTCGTTAACAAGACCGTTTCAATCAACAAGATAAATAGCCCATCAACTGTCAGTGTCTATACTAACAATTCCGGTTTCCGGTTCGTTCTCTCATTCGAGTGATTCTCTTCTCAAACAAAAACCTTTTTTGTATTGTCTCGTTTTAAAACATAAAAAATATTTTTTTCAAGTTTTTTTTTATTTCTGTTAATTTTAGGGGGTTAAATCGGCTGGAAAGCTCCTCGTGTAAAACATGACACGTAAATACAAAAAAAATTTAAGAAAATCGAAAAATAAGGGAAAAAAGAAAGTGTTTCAAATGAAGGTTGTTTTCGATTCAATCTATCAACGTGTCCAACACCTGCGGATGAAATAGAGTTTTTAAAAAGTACAAAAAAGTAAACTCAAGGAAATATGAAGTTTTGAAAGAGTTAATTGGAAATTTGTTCCGAGAGACTTCATTTCATCGATTGTTTGGGTTCGTTATAAACGGATTATCGAAGTGTTTTCGTTATTCTCCGAAATTAATTCAAAAAGGCTTTTCAGGAAATATAATTTAATCTCTTCGGATTAATTCTATCAAGTTTTAATACTTAACAATAATAATACCTTCGAAAATTTATCATCAAACGAATTAGTTCAAGAATTTTTTTAATCTAGATCTAAAAAAATATTTAAGTTGAGCGTTTCCGTTAAAATAAATACCAATAATAGATGTTTGTGGTTGAGTTGAACTTTAGGAGTCCGGGGACAAATAGTCCGGGAACGCCCGCAGGACAATGTACGCCATTTCGTCGTTGTAATTGAAATAGCTGTCAGTTGCTCTCTCAAATATACGCAGTTCTATTTTCAACCTACTATCCACACTTTTCATACAAACCATTATTATACATTGAAAAAATTAATTTTTCTTGAAGTATTTGAAATTGAAACAAAAACATACTGCCATCTATCGATTTTAATTACAACTTATATTCGACCACTTAATTTCATAATTAAATATATTTTCAACAATAGATAACTATAATCAATTTACAATTAAAATAACAATTATAAAATAAATCGTATGCGTTTAAAAGTAAATAATAATAAAATAAAACTTTATTGTCTTATTTTAGTTAGTATCTAACTTCGCTTCATTTACGTTTTGTTGTGATTCAGTAATTGACAGTTTTAAAATCGCTGAGAATTTTAAGTTTTAATTATAAATATTTCTTTAAGGATTCTTTCCGGAAACCCAAGTTCGTTTTAATTCGTTCCCGGGGATGCCAAAGTAAGTATTATCACATTTTTTAAATATCAAGGTGAAAAAATGAGTTGAGTTTTAAATTTTTGGTGAACATAACCTAAAAATATTTTTTAAATTTAATATCGCATTAGAAAAGCGTAATTTCAATAATGCTCTCGTTAATTTACTAATAAGCACCACCACATTTCACAATTATTTTTATAATAACATATGTTATAACAGTATTCCAATTACTAGTTTCGTATCAAATTACAACGTGGAAATTCCAAAATTAATTCTATTCGCTACATGATAAATCAAAATACTCTACATTATTCTAAATTATAACCGTAAGAGTATAATAATTTTGCATGTGTTCACTTACATTCCGAAACTTCTCATTAAAATAATTGTGGATGAACGACCGGATGTGAAATTAAATGAGATCCGTAATTGACCAATTAATCAATTAATTACGGATCTGATTCATTAAAGTGGAATCATAATCTGATTAAAACCGCACTTAGAAATATCATCTTTAAACTAATACCAAACAGAAATTAATTTTTGTTTATAACAGAAGAAATATTTTAATTTTTTTTAACAACAATAGATAAAAAAGATGCTATAACTCATTTAAGTTGCATTTAAAGTCGTACTTCTCTTTCAAGATGTACTTAAAAGTTCCACATTGTTAACTGAAATTATTGCGCAATCTGCGTCGAGACTTCCAATCTTATTCGAGAAAATCACCCGAAAACAAAAAGTTTTCTACTTAAGTAACGGAAGTTAAAATGAATAGTTTCGGTTGTTAAATTGTTGATTATATCGTAAAATTAATAAGATTTAATTACTAAATCTTTTTTTCATTATCAACTAAAATTACCCTAATGAAACCCTAGTGAAACACATAAAGAACAAACGGCCTCTTTGTATCTGCCTCCTCTAAATTGCAATTAACCCTCCTAGTTTAAGGGAGGAAAAGATCTTTAAGTGAAACATATCCAAACGAGAGTACTTAAGTATCAATCTTTTAAGTTCTATTATCAACGAGTGGTATGAGGTGTGCGAGAGATCTGGGAGGGAGAGGAATGCTACAAGAGCGAAGATGATATAGATACAGAGAGATACTAGAGCAAACAGGGAGGAATAAAAAAGAAAGAAGAATAACCGGCAAGCTTGTGAGACGCAAGAGAAGGGAGATAATGAGGAGAAAAATCCAAGAAAAGACTAATTTTATAAAACCGATAAATGTAAGCGATTAAAACTAAATAAATAACTCTAAACTTCGGTTAAATAAATAATACAATTTAAGATATGTTCAGCTTGTGTATTGTATAAATGTAGCTTTAACCTGAAAATACACAACTTACGCAATTTTCGACTTACGTGATCCTATGCGGTTCTATTATGTAAATTCGGAGTATTGGTGTTTATAAATGTTTATAAATTTAAAATAATTTATTAAAATTCAATATTGAACAATAGCAGGAATTGAAGTCAAAAACATTTATAAACGTAAATTTAATCACTTCGTCCACCGGATTGCATTGAAATGAGAAATTTCAACCTAACAATACATAAATCGATGCGTTTATTATGTATTAATTTGATTTAATAACGAGAAAACAATTACTAACAAATAACTTTAATGATTTAATTTGATTTGAGAACAATCAATCATTTTTAAAATGGAAAAATTGCAAATAGAAAATTAAAGTTGGAAACTTACGTATTACCCCTAAAAAATCTTCTTGAAAATTTTCTTTGGAAACTTGTAAATACTTTTCAAGTCACGTCGTGGGCAGGTTTGTAGCCACCAAAGTGGTCCATCTGAACTTGTTGAAAGTTGACATCAAACTGTCGAGCGCTTTTGATTGCGTCGGGGAATATTGCGCAACTGCGCCAAAAGCTCGGCAAACATTTGCTCGCCCAAATCGAGCTTTCGTAAATTTCGTTTTAAAAATTAACAAATAATCCGACAAAGAAAAATTCAAAATGTTTCTAATTGGACAATTAACGTTATAATTCCACGTGACGAACCCTCGTCAAATCAGGCTAATTTCAACTTTTACTTGTCAACCCCTTTTTTCAGCTCGTCGCTTTTTATTGGGCTTTTTCGTGCAAATTATTCGAGAGTCGTTGAACTCGCCAAACTTTATTTCGCGCTTTAAATTTATAATTGGAAATGAGAAAAAAGTTTTTAGTGTTGTGATTAAAAAAGATATGGAAAAAAGTTTTCCCGGCGCATCCACCATTATAATTTTTGGCGAATTTAGGAGAATAAATAAAAAGGAGTTTAGACAACCAACATAATTTTGTTGTTTTTAGGGTTGCTTTATTTTTAGGATTTAAAATAGGTTTCTATCAGCTTTTCGGTTAAAGAAATTTTAAATAAACTCGTTTAACGAAATCTTAGCTATTGAAATGAAGATGTCGCGTAGCCAGAATTGGTTTATAACTTAACTAAATTTTATTTCTTGTATTGAAAAACAGATGCCCACTTTTTTTGAATTTTATGCACTATCATACTAAAATTTAATTAATTGATTTTTCGAATGGAGGGTTAATTAACTTTTGTTGCCAATATTTTTACGTTAATAATCTTCTTTTGTCCGTAAACAGACTGTATAATATGTATAAAAAAAGTTAATTTATTTTTGGGTATATTAAATTCTATTTTATTTATCTTTATTATTTTAAAAACATACAATACAGTTATAATTAGATGTATATAGGTAGGTGTTATACATTAATAAGGGTAATGGTTGTTTTCTTTTTAAATAAGATGGGTTTAAGTTTGTGTTTCCGTTTTCTTTTTATTTTCATTAGAAAGCATACCCAAAAAAAAGTGAAATTAAATTTACAGTCAATAACGTCCACTATATACACATTATCTAATTACGTCATCAGCATTGATTAAAGACTACTGACCCATAAAAATAAACACAAAACGAAAATTTTAACCCAAAATAAATCACATTAAACAATTTTTTCATTTCTTTTTGTTGCTAAATCTATTCAACTTTTAGATTGCACTATTAGATCTTTTAAGTAAAAAAGAAAAAAACTTAAATACTACATTAACAATTAATAATTAGAACAAAATATGTACATGATTTCTTAAAAAAATATTTTTATATTCTTATTAGTAATAGTAATAATAATACAAAAAAGGGATAGAAAAAAAACATAAAAAACAAAGATCAACATGATGTTATACAATAAAATAATTATTAACCTCTATTATTACAATAATAATAATAATTCCTTTTTTTAATTTTTTGATCGTTTTCCTTATTATTTTTTTTAATAATAATAGTTATTTAAAAGCCGTTTATTAGAGGAATGTTACACACTCAGTACGACGCTAAAAAGCTTTTTTCGTCGGTTTTAATCTCGCATTCGTACACGCTACTCTTACATTTTCTTTTTTTTTTGTAATTTAAATATATCGAGACGATGAGAAATCGACGACAACAAAAAACCAAGCGAGAAAAACCGAGAATCTTTCGAAAAAATGGACAGTTTTTCTTAATCATTTCAATTAGATCTTAAATTTTTAATAATTTAATAATTATCCGGATGATCCGCGCTCCCTTCTATATCTTGATCAACATCATCCCCATCTTCATCATCATTCGTTTCTGAATTTTTATTATTATTTTTCTTACCACTATTTGGTTGCAAATCATCAGCTTTATTTACCAAATTTTCACAATTTGGTTTTGAATGTGTACGGGTATTTGCGAATTCAACGCCGTGTTTATCAACACACCAACACATTCCTATCGCACCGTGGCATTGTGTTGGTTTATAATAACCTTGTTGGTCACATTCGGGAATGTACGCACCTAAAAAACATAAATAAATCATTTTAATCCAAAAGAAAAAAAAACTTACCTAATAAATCCGGGGTAATTTTGCGTTTAACAGCAGCACACGGTCGTTCAGTTCGTTGAAAACATCGACACCATTCGTTCGGTGTCACGTTAAAATCCCTGTTGACATCACATTGTTGTAAAAACGGTTTCAAACATACCTCGTTCTGATCGTGTTCTAAATCGTATAATTCTTGTAAATTCAACCGGCCGTCACCGTTTAAATCTAAATGTTGAAACATCCACCGCACTTCGCCCTTACAAACCGGGGGGAAATAAATCGCGATTCCCTTTTTCGATTTATTTCTATTTCTCCGTCTTTTCGACGAATCGGCCATTATCACAGAGAACCAATCGAGTAATCGATTCCCCATCGATTGTAAAGCGGAAACGGAACATTCTTTCGCTGGGGGTGTAGCGGGGATCATATTTAAATTGTTATTAAATAATTTATTATCAATTACTTCATTATAAATTTTATCTTTATCATCAGAAGAAGAAGAATATAAATAACCGTTATTATCTTTATTGAATTTCGTGTATTTTATATATTTATAATGTTTATTTTCGTATTTAAAATCCTGTGGAGTAAATGTATAAACCGAATCTGATTTTGATGATGGCGCTGGTTTCCCTACGGTTATCGAACCGGAATTTGTTCCGCTTTTATCTAAAGTCGCTTTGTATTTATTCATAAATGAGTTTAGACGTTCTTGCTGACGTTGTTTTTTGCGTAAATGAACGTCTGTCGTCTCAGTTTTACACGGGCAAAAACCTTTACATCCCACCCGTATATTTGTATGATGAATACAGTTGTGATAATCCAATCGGCATAAAGACGAATATGTTCGATTATCGGAACCGCAAAGAAACGTTGGTTTCACTACTGGACATGGTTTACACCTAAAAAAGAAAAAAAATAACTTAAAAAATGAATTTGAAAGGCTTCATCTTCATAACAATAATTGGATTTACTTAAACGAAACGTTTTGTCCAATTCTCTAACAAAACGAAAAATTTGTACTATAACATATCAGCGTTTTGCTCATCTTAAATTCAGGATGTGTTCCAAAAATTTAAATTTCACGCCAATTTTCCGCAGAAGCCATTCATTCGCACATATATCGAGATATAAAAGATGGAAGAAAGGAGAGATTGTAAAAGGGGGAAAATCGAATTTTATACTATTGTATACGGGCCACGAGCCAATCTGTTTTTCAACCCCATCTTCATCTCTTTCCATTTTTCCCCTTTCATTTTTTTTTTCTCGTTTTTACACGGAAATTTCTAGCCGCCATCGAATAATTTATCATGGCACGCAAAAAAGAAAAGGGGCGCGATGATATCGGTTCGAGCAAGAAAAATGGCTTATAACAAAAAAAAACGTAAAGTGGGATGATTAATTATGTGCTTTTAGGAGAAAGAAAGTAAATTTTTTGTGGGTGATAGAGAAGAAATTGTAATAAATATATTTTTTTTTTTGAAAGGAAATAATTTTATTTTACTATCAAAATTATAGTCTTATAAATGTATCGTTTTATTCACTCAAGTTTTCTTATATTTTAGGTTTTGGGATTGAAACGAAATTTTCAATTTTTCCTGCCATCAGTTCGTGGAGAATCTATTTGGTGGATTTGGGTAACTACATACTTTGAAAGGTAAGTTAACAACTTAATTTGGGCTAAACCAAATATCTGGTTTAGAAATCCAAAAGGGAAATAACTTAATGAAAAATAATGATAAGATATTCGACTTCAACGAGAGTGATTAAGCTTTAATACAACATGATCGACTCTCGTACCATCATCTCGCAGAATTCTATACCCTGTCTAGATTAGTGGTTGTAATTATTAAAGCATGTCTATGGTACTAATGATTAGACTTGTATTTGGAATGTTGTGTTCACCCCATTGATGATACGTAATAGTTGTATATGCGTAACACTTTGTTCTTAGAAGGTAAAGTGTGTTTCATCATCATCAAGAAGGCATAGTTATACTTACCAAGGCAATAAGCTGTAAATAATGTTTGATAAGGATAAGGACGTTGCGCAATGCAAGGAAGACTGAGAAAGGTCTGCTTTGTTTACTGCGGTCAATGACCATCATGCAAAAATGTTGGGTAAGGTCATAAACACTGTGCAATGGTTGGTTAGGAAAAATCAGTTCTGTTCACTGAGATTAATGATCTCCATGCAAAAAATGTTGGAAAATGTAAAAATTAAAGGTGACAATTAATTGTATAAAAATACTTTTAAACACTTTTAATTAAATTTTTTGAAGAAGATTTTTGAAAACGAAAAGTTTCCTTTAATTAGATGTTGACGAGTTTTTCGGGAGAACGGAGTAAAAAAGAAAGAAGCGAAAGATTTAATTCGTTCCCCAACTTCTAGTGGCTCTTACGGTCGCTAATTCGCCCCTTTTCCTCTCCTCGATCCTGTCTTTTCCTTTTCCTAAAAGTTAGTAAAACGAAAAAAAGGTAATAAGAAGAAACCCGTCTTTTTTACTTCTCAAGAATTCCGTCAGAAATAAAATCATTTGCATTTTGATGGGGGGTAGGTAGAAAAGTAGTCCCCTCGACGGTAGCAAATTTTACCCAGATTGCCTCATATTTTATTATTAGGTCAGAAGAGTAGAAATGTAGGTGGAAATTTTTAAAAACAAATACTTCATTATTATTATTACTCACGTTATTGAATCGCTTAGATCCTCTTCGGTTTCATCATCGTCTGAATCATCTTCAGTATCGTAAAAGACATCGTCATCCGTTTCTTCACCACCTCCATTTCGGGTTTCTAATCGTTTTCTATCTTCAATTTGAGCCATTGATTTCGGTATTACAACGTCACTAATAATAATTTTATTAAAAACAATGAGAAATTGTTGAAATTAAGAATAAGTACCCGTTTTTTTGTAATTCCTTCTTGGAAACGCAAACCGCTGTAAAAGCATCTTCAAGTAAACACATTTCTTTTTTCTTGCAATTTAACGGTCTACAAAGATCGCCTGGAAAGAAAAAATAATCGATCGGTATTTATAATAAATATATAAATCTAAAACTTCCGGTTTATACCGACATAAGAAAATGCTTAAAAGAAGAGATCAAAATGGATGAAAATAAGGATGTCTTGTTTTTATTTTTTGGCATGCGGATAAGATTTACGATCCAAATGGGATAATAAATCTCCTTCCCACCTAATTTATACAGAGACGTATTTATAGCTTTTTCAACGATTCACTCGAAGACAATTGTATCCGTTTCCCGTTTCGTTCCTTTTCCCCTTTTTTTAGTTATTTTATTCGTTAACAACTCCATTTTCGTGCCGGATTTGACCGTAGAAGCAATTTCGATTTCAAACTTATCCGATTTTGGGATTTAAATGGTTTCGAAATCGGATTCTAGCGAGCTTCATTAGTTATCCTGAGTTTGACAGGTCAGGATTGACAATGAAGCTATTTGCAAACCCATTGATTGCGCGCCTCCTGCAAACTTCATAATGAATCGTCGTCGATTTGCGACAAGGGGGAAAGGGGAAGTGGGAGTGAAACCGGAAGTGACCTCTTTAACTATTAATTGAATTTCTTAAGAGGGCGGGTTCTCTCAACTCTGCGTTTCTTAAAGCATAAATCTTTTTTGGTATTAAATTTAACTCTAAAATTGCGATGTTTCAATTAAAAGATAATTTTAATCCATTTTTTATTTTGTTTAAGCTAGAGAAAAAGATTTGTTTGTTTTCAATTTATAGATAACCCCCTTTTCTTTTTCTTGTATTCTCTTTGTTTTGCTTCTGTTTGGTTTTAAACCTCTCTTTTGTCCGCGCTATTTATCTTGTGCCCTTCTCCTCAAAAACATTTTCAATTTCTACCACATTTAAACAACACAAAGAGATGAAGGGAAGCGGATTATTCCATTTTCTCTTGCCCACAGTTAACAATCAACCCCATTGTTACAACAACGTTTTATTGTTTCTTTTTGAACATCTAAACGAAGGAGTTTTATGTTTTCTTTTACTTAAACTAATAATAATTGCAAATTAATGATTTTGTACTTACTTGTTGGATCATGAATCCATCGTTTCTTTTCTCCCGATGATTTTGTTGATTTAACATCATCCTGCAATAACAAAAAAAAGTCAAAAACGTGATTTCTAAAAAACTTTTTTAAACCACATTAAAACAAAAAAAACGGAAAACTTCAAGAAGAATCCGTCTCATTCTATGAACTACGGGAGTAAACGAAGCGAGAAGAAGTCTTCTACAAAGACCACCATCAACTGTAGAGGGTCAGTTAATTAAAGTAAACTATTTGAAGTGGTGCTGTTGAAACTTGTTCTTTTTCCTCTTCGTTTCTCTTGCTCGGCGAAAAGCAAAGTTCCTTTTCTACGGTAAAAAGGGCTCAAGAAACGAGTTTGTGGAAACGAATGAAAACAATTTTATTATTTCTTTTTTTCAAAAACCGCAAAGAACAAAAGTTTTACGAAACAGAAAGAAAAACTTTGTTAATCCATAAAATCAAAAAGTCGGATACGAAAAGTCCTATTTCTCTTTCCGCATTTCCAATGATTATTGTTGGAATAAAATCTTGACTTGGATCCAAATGGAGCCCCATCGAAATGAATGTATAGGGGGGGTTAAAAGGAGCGATAGTTGGGGGGATGTAGACGCATCTATCCTCGAGGACATTAAATGGAGACGTTTTCCCGGAAAATTCCTGCCAACAAATCCAAATATCGCATCGATTCGCGGAAAATTTTCAATTTAATACTACAACAAAACGTATTGTTGTTACGCTTGGATTGGCAAAAGACTGAAACTACAACATCCTATCTCGCGGATTACGTTGGTATTAGAACTTTTCTAGGCTTCACGTTGTGCAATCTACAAAGACTCCCTTCTACTCTCTGCTCTAGAGACTTCATCTTCTGTCTCTCTTCGTTCTCCTCAACTAAAATCGATAATTCAACGACTTATGTATATACACTACTGCAGTGGATTTACTACATTTGCTAAGGTCTAAATTTATTTCATTTAAATAACTATTGTAAATAGAACAATTATCACTTTTTTTTACATCAATTTTTATTATTATCAATAGAAGAAAAGCAGTAGAGGAGATTGAAGCCTGTAAGGAATGCATGATGTTAGCAAAAAACCTGATAAGTGCAGGATGTAAATATTTATATATATAGGCGTTATAGAAGAATGATCAAGGAAAAAAAGTGAAAGAAAAATCAATGTTTTTCCGCATGTAAAAGTAGGTCTTAGAAGAGGAACAAGGGGGACAATAGATAATATATTTGTATTGAAACTAGTAATGTATGTAGATATTCTACTTGTAGATTTGACACCTTCATTTGGTGCAGTAACTAGCAAGAGCTAAGGAGAAGGAGTAAAGCTGGAAAAATGCGCAAGATGAGGGACGCCCATTGGCGTATTGAAATCATCTGGTGATGTTGTTAAGAGTGGTTACAAAGTTTGAGATGGATGATGAGATTTATGGAAAGAAATAATGTGTGAAATAATAGTCATAGTGAGTCTTTGAGTCATTTCATTAACGACATACGCGTATACGTGTCGATATTATCATAGTTCCATAATTATACCATTTAATTGATCCAACACTTAACAGACTATTTTCGAAGATAACACAAAAATACACGATAGAAGCAGTTGTATCTCAAGGCAACTTAGTATCAACCCATATCATGCACTAATAGTAATTTGAAATAGTATACTCAGCAATACTTTCACTGGCAACAATCAATACATCATCGAGGCAAAGGACAATATTCTAATAAGGAATAGCATCGAAATCAGAACAGCCGCTACATCCTACATAATCCACAAAATTAATAACTAGGATGTAGGTAATTGCAAAATCGTATTTACCGTCGTACTACAACTAAGAGATGAGCTAACAACTAATAATATCGATAAGTACTAGATTTGGTATCAGAAACCTGATTTAACCAAATTTACACAAAGATGATTGAAAGTTTTCATTTATTTTTCATATAAACGGGATTATAGTGCAAAAAAGTATGAGTTAATAAAGGGAAATGAGATAATACCCGTGTTTATCCCATCCCGTGTGAGATAACACCATAATAGAAACGCAATTAGCGTTAATTTAAACGATGTCAGTGTTACGCCGGTTAATGTTATAACGTTGAAAACTTTTCCGGAATTCTTTTATAAAAGAGAGAAACTGGGAGAATAAAACAGGCGGTGGTTTAGCATGAAAAGCTGATAAAAATCCGTACCAAAAAAAAATAATATCGAAAAGAGGCGAGAGATACTTTATATCCAAACCCGTGGAAAACTTTTCGACGCGATATCGTAAAAGTTAGACGAGCAAAAAGGAAGTAAGTCGGTAATCCGAAGAAAGTTGCCAAAACTTTTCAAGGAATAAATAATGATTGAAAAGAATACATATTTAATATCACAAAAATAACAGTATAATACCATAATTTCATTTGGATTAATAAAGTTAATACCCCCGAAAAAGTGATATCCGGTGGTGGATAAAATCAATATTAAAATGAACCGAAAAGCTCTCGCACGTAAATCAACTGTTTAATTCGGGAATTATGCGCCATCCGGTGAAAGAAAAAAGTGGATTTTAATTCCGGGGTAATGAATCGACAAATTGCGGCGCGAAATCGTACCGGAATTCCATCGGAAACTACTCACACCCGATTTTCCCCCAGCTGCTATTGTAGTATACACAACTTTTTTTAATTATTTACCGAGTGAACTAACATAATTACGACCGAAGCAGAACTTTATCATCTCGAATCGATGCATATTTTAGAACTAAATAGATTTTAGGGAAAAAATTTCGACGCGAAATTCTCTGAGGAAAAAGATTTAAATATAAAAGGTCACAAGAGAGATAAAAACGTAAAGTCAGGTGCGAATACAGTGAAGTAACTGCAATTGTATAAGCCCCCGAATCCCAAGAAGCGAGTGAGCCTGCAGTAGTTGCGGTGGGGCCGTAACGGCAACGAAGGTGCATTCCAACAACACTTTCGATTGTTTAAAAATAACTCGCTCTCGCTCGTCCAAACAAAACCCACGGCACGAATCATTTTTCATTTTGAAAGAAACCCCTATTTAAATTTTTTTAAATGGTTCTTTTGATTTTACGACGGAAATTTCCTCGGTCGATGCGTCGACCTGATTTTCAACACAATAAGAACTATATAAAGTGATACAAAGTAATACAAAGCGAAGTAGAGGGAGTGATCAAATTGGACAACCTTAACCTAATATTGCAACGGAATTCCGGTCGCTGGTTATTTACCGCAATTGCACCCAGGGGATATTTCCTCGTTTAATGCGTTTAACTTACATAATAAATATAAAAGATAATATTAATCTTAACGGGGATTGAACTGAAATTATTGTTTCTTTGCGATTATTAAAACAATTTTGAATCCGGTTCGTACAAGTTGAAACCTAAACTGCCTTCCCCGCAGTTCCACTTCGATCGATACTATATGTGGAAAGTAGTTTTGGTGGGGCCTTTTTTATTATTCTTCGCCAATTTCACTTTTAACAATTAATAAAAATTACTAAATGATTAACTGTTATAATTAAGTTATTAACATTATTTCAAATTGTATCAGAAGAGCTTTTGAGATATTAAATTTGAAAGATGCCAGGTAAAAATGCCTTAAAAATCTACCTGGTTCGAATACAAATAAAAATATGGGTCAAACTCTTTTTTTCAAGGTGTGCCATCTATCCTTAATAGATGGTTAAAACAGAAAAATGATTTGACGGCATGCAATTACAATTCCATTATTATCATTACATGCACTACACATGTATTATAATTATCGATGATTCCACACCTTTTTTGCACCGTCCAACCCAAGAATTGAAAAATAATAATGACTCATGAGGCCTTAATAGGAGATTTTATAGATTTGCTCTTTCTATGTGACCTAAACCGCGACGTTTTATGACGGTCTTATTTACTGTAAGTTAATTCAAAAGAAAGCATTATCATTATCGACTCGGGTTGTCCGAGAAGAGCTAAAACTAAGTGATCCGTATTAAATTACACTTCATCAGTATTTTCTAAATAACAGATTTCGTGGTTACAAGAGGATGTGCGATAATTTTTTATCAACACCGCAAGTTTCCTCTTAATTTTTTTTTTAATTTTTGACCTCAATTGCAAATTTAATAAAAACCTTTTAAGTTGACATTTTGAAATTTGACAGATAAATATATTAAGTTATGTTTGAACTGTCATTTCGCATTTTAGGTTAGAGTTAATAGATTTATGTAATGTAATGTCATATTCTTCAACGAAATCTTCTTTTGTGTTAAACTATTTCCAGATTATATCCGTTGTTAGGTCAGGCGATAACATTGTTAGAAACGTCAATGTTTATAAATAATAGGTAGAATATAGACCATATTTAATATACAGGGTGATTTACAATGCTTGAAAAAAATCCTGCAAAATACAACATCAATTATATTAGTTCTTTTCTGCTTCAAAATTTTACCAATTTAAAGAGGTATTAAATAAACATAAAATCAAAAAAGGAAAAAACATTTTATTTCTTTTTTGAAATTCTTCAGGTAAAGTATCGAAAAGATGTCAAAGATACCGAAGAAGAAAAGAATCTGTAGCGACCGCGTCCTCCAAACGAAGAAAACCTGCTCGACAGGTACACGGGTTGGTTTGGTTCTACAGTTCTAAAAGAGGAGTCGCCGCCGCCGCCGCCGCTGCTGCCACCGTAACCACAGAGTGGTACATAGAACTGATCGAAAACGAAAAGAAGAAAGAACTAAAAGGCAACACGCACCTCTTCGGCGAACTCGAAGTCTCCGTCAAACTTCCTCTTGCGTTTGCCCTCGGCGCTTCCGACCGCCAAGACGACGGACGCGACCAACACCACCGCGGCGAACCGCATCTCTTCAACTGAGTTTTTCCTTTGAATCGACTTAATCGACGTCGATAAAAGACGTTTTATTCACACGGGTTCGTTTAATACGTTCTTCGAGAAGTGTATTTTTTTTAATAAAAAAAAAAGAAACCCCGGGTCGTTCTGTGCACACTACGCGAGGCGCGACTCCGCTCTGCCAGTTTTGCGCCGAAGTAGTCGATTCGGGCAGGGACGGCGACCGCGCGGGCCCCCTCCTAACGGGTCGCGGCGACGATACCCGTTGGATGACAAAGAGCGCGCGCGCGTTTGCCGCGCCGCTCTAAAACATTTTCGATCCGAGGAGGACGCCCCTGGAAAAAAGAATCGATAACTCTGTATACATAGAAACTACCGAAAGGGGGTTGTTCGTTACGTAAGAAACGGAATGGATGGCTTTTGGGTATTGATGTAGACGAGAAGACGTCTCTTGATTACATTATTTATTTATTCTCATCTCTTTACTTAATCTTATTTTCTGTAGGTCTTGTGTTAGTTCTAGTGATAGTGCTAGTGTAAAACTAGAACTAATACTAGACCAAGAACTAGAAACATTCGGGTTTAGCCGCACTTCTCTCAAGACGGCTAAACCCGAATGATCCTAGTTCTAGGTCTAGTGTTAGTTAAGTTTTATTTGTTGTTCAGCGATAGATTGTTGTATATTTTTATTGAGCTATAACAATCCCCGTATTGATCCGTTATGTCGAGGTTTTACTGTAATGTCAAATTATATTGACATGTTGCATATATTGCGCAGTTACTTGATGCGCGTGAAAGTTCCTCAGTAATTGCCCAAGCGAATTGACATTAATGCCTATACCAAAGAACTAATATACTGGAACTCTTCTACTTCACCTATTACTTCAGTTGTCATTCCGTTACTTCCATTACTTCAATTACCAACTCTAAAGCTTGGGAACTTGATTCTGCCATTTCTGACGGAGCTTCAGTGTTGCGTTATTCAATTCATTTATTAAAGGAGTTGTTTCGGACTTTGCAGATGTTTATCAGATTTCAGAAGTTTTAGGAACCTCGGAGGTTTCTGCTTTATTTAATGATTGAGGATACTTCTGAATTTTAAGGGTTTTCGGGGTTTTGAACTTAAAGGATTTTGTTCTACTCCAATCATTTGAGGTTGAATCCAATTGAACGTTGGATTTGTTCATAGGAAACACGATTTAGAGGAAGATCAACTATCCAGATAAACTATATACCCAAACTTAGCATCTTGGCCAAGTTAATTAAACACATTTAGATGTATATCCTTAAACATTAAGAATCTGTGAAATGGGTAAATGGAAATAATTGAGAGAAAGGAAAATATAAAATCTTAGAGAACGCTAAGAATTTACTTGCACAAAAATGTTCATATAAAACTTTGAAGTTCATGGAATGTAATTAATAATTATACCAACCCACCTTTACGACACAGTTGTAATAAAACTTACTTATTAAATATGACAGTTTCTAATGTGTACATTAAAAGCTCCTTGTTGAATAAAACCTTTTCCGCAAACATTGCAATGAAATCTCTTCTGCCCAGTGTGAGTCATAATGTGGGTTTTTAACGTTTTCGATTCTGTAAACGATTTACAACAAATATTGCATTGAAATTTTCGCAAACCTGTATGAGTTTTCATATGAACCTAAAATTTATGAAATTAAAAAAAAAATAAAAAACATTATTATTCATTTACCCGTAAATGACTTGCTGCGATATACTTTTTCGGACAAAAAGAGCAGGCATACGGTCTATCCCCAGTGTGATATCTCACGTGGGTATCTCGGGTATCTTTTTGTCGAAAAGCTTTCCCACAATGCCAACATTTATAAGGAAGTTCACCCGTGTGTCTTAAATTGTGCTTTTTTAATTGACCTTGAGCTAAAAATGAAAAATATTGTAATTTAATTATATTATACTCTATTTTTTAATTCGGAGGAGTGTTTTCAAATTGAAGCGGCAAAAAGAAGGGTAGCTATTGGCAAGCTAGATAAGTTAGATAACTGTCCTAGTTTGCTGCCTTCTCTTGGAAGATGCTAGAGCTGTTTACATGATATCAGTAATTTTAAGTCAGCCAAGCCAGTACGATTGCAGACGGTTGACGGTACAACACGTCCGTGATACTAGCTTGGATACCAGCTTCCTCGGCCACACGAAGCTAAACCCAAGCCAGGACAGCAAAATTAGTGGTGACGGAAGCTTACTAGCTGTAAAAATAGAACAGCAAGCTATTAAACTATCCTGGTTTCAGGCACTAGTTTACTAGCCTGGAATAAGGCTAGTTTTGTATACACGAAGATAGATGCACTAGCTTGCTATCCTAGCTTACAAAACTAGGCTCGTGTATTCCGGGCATTATATCGAGGTTTTACTGTAATGTCAAATTATATTGACATGTTGCATTTTATGTGGGTCAAAGTAAAGTCCCTAGATTATCAAAGTACGACGGTTCATGAAGCCCGTGTAACTTTGTCAGTGCATGTCACCACTTATTTCCAAAAAGTACATGTGTAATAATGCCGTCTTGTTGCTTTTGGAGTTGCAAAAATTACAGTAAGAAGGGCTTTAGACTCTTTAGAGTACCACGAGAAAAAAAAAGAAAGGAAATTTGGTGTAATTTTATCAACAGAACGACAGTTTTAAATTTCCCGCTTAATTTTCGTGCCAAAATGGTGGCAAACCGCGGTACTTTGATAATCTAGGGACTTTAGGACAAAGTAAGTAGGTACGCCCTGGCTTTTATTATGTTTAAACAAATAAGTAATTAAATTCGTAACTACAGTTTACTTAAAATATTCTCTGGTTTTAAAACTACCGCCAAAAAATAGCTTTGAAAAATTACATTGTGTAAATGTGACTTTTTATTTTAGTCCTCCGAATTAAAAAATAGAGTATAGAAAAGTTAAAAAACTTACTGGTAAAAGCACAATCACATTTTAAACATTGATAAGGTTTTAATCCAGTATGAGAGCGCAAATGAATCTCTAAATGAACATTTGTAGAACATCTTTTATCACATATATTACAAACGAAGGGTTTCTCTCCTGTATGAGTACGAATATGTGCGTTTAAGTTAGAATTTTGATGAAAAGATTTTCCACATAAATTACATTTGTGCTTTTTAATTTCGTTATGGATTAATTTGTGCTTGTGTAATGAACTGGGCAATGAAAAGCTTTTACCGCAAATGTCACAGTTAAGTGGTCGTTCACCAGTGTGTGATCTCATATGGATAATTAGCAGTTTATTTTGTTTATAACGTTTTCCACAAATACTGCAAACGTATTTTCGTTCTAATAAATTATTTTCTTCAGTGTGCTCATCTCTATAATGTCTCTTTAACGTTTTAACATCAGGAAATTCTTTACCACATAACTAAAATTATTTCAGGCAAATAAATATGATTTATGTTTTAATTTAAATTTTCTTACATTACATGTATAACTTATTTTCTTTTTTTCAACAACCCGATCAATACTTCTATCTAATGTATGAACATGTAAATGATTTTCTAATGCTGAAGGGGTGTTACATTCTTTACCACACATTTCACAATAATATTTAGCTTGACCTGTATGAACTTTTATGTGTTCACCTAAACTCCATTCATCTTTAAATATTTCCTCACAAAATTGGCACTTATATAATTGTTCTAAATTAAAACCATCGCATGTCGTGGTTACATTTTCTGTTGATAAATTTTGTTCATTTTCCCAAGTTGCCGGTAAACATTGTTCAGCAATTGTACGTAAACTTTGCATTGTTTCCGCAAGATCTATCATTAAAAATAATTTATTTGAAATAAATTAATTTAAATTTCTATTTACCTGAATTTTGCGATGTGAAGTTATCGACTAAAGAATGCGTTTCAGCATCATCAAAAATATCGTTAAAAATCGAACTTTGTTGTAAAACTTCAGTGGAACTAAATATGTGGTCGTTTTTATCGTCGGATATAATACTTTGAGTGGTTTCCAAAGGGATAATATTGATGTATTGTCGTAGAATACCATCGGATTTTTCGCATTGAGTTTTAAATGTGTAGGAACGATTTACAGTTTGTAAGCATTGAGTGCATATTTGATGGGGTAAACCATCTCCTTCGATAACCTAGATTTTTATTAAAATTTAATTAATTTGATTTGAACATTAAAAATTAATACCTGAATAGCAGCACAACTCATTAACATGTTTGGAATACATGCATTAAAAATCGGTTTTAGAGCAGTTTTTTCTATTAAACACACCCTACAGATTTTATCGAATTTCATTTTAACAAAACTAATTTTAATTTAAGTTATAGTTAAAGTTTTATTTAAATTTATTTTTATTTTAAGGTTATGTTAACTCTTATAACCTCAAAAAAATGACATAAATCAAATTTTACAGATTCCTTTAAAATGTCAAAATGGTTGCCTAACCACCTCATTTTTTTAAACAATTTTGATTTAATTACAAAATTAAATATGAACTAATAATCACTTTTTGTCTTCTTTCTTACGATAACTACTTTTTTTAGCATGAACAACAGCTTTTAAAGCGGCCTGTTCAAAACTATCGGTGCTATCGATAGGAAAATGTGCGCTTTTAATGATTTCTCTTGCTTCATCTGCATGGGTTCCTTCTAAGCGTACTACCAAAGGGACTTTAATAATTTCCGTTGCTTTAACTATTCCTTTAGCAATCATTGCGCAATCAACAATTCCACCGAAAATGTTCACCAAAATTACTTTAACCTGTCTTGATTTTCCCAAAATTTTAAATGCGTTATAAATTCCGGATTCTGTTACGCCACCGGAGACGTCTAAGAAATTAGCTGGCTCGCCACCATGAGTTTTAATAAGATCCATTGTAGCCATTGCTAAACCAGCCCCATTTACCATACATCCGATGTTTCCATCTAACTGGATATAATGCATACCAAACTGCACAGCTTCTAATTCGTTTGGGTGTGTTTCCGGATCCGGTTTAAATAAATCTTTGTGCCTAAATTCGGCGTTATTATCGATTGTAAATTTAGCGTCTAAAATTTGTATTTTATTATCATTAGTTTCGGCCAAAGGATTTATTTCTAGTTGCATCATATCGTACTTTTTAAAAAGACGCCATAATTTTTGCATGACATCAATTAATTGGGGGTAATTCATTCTTTTGAATCGGAAAAAATCGGCATATTCACCCGCTTGTTCATAACTAAACCCTTTGCAAATATCAACCGGAATTTTTCTCATCAACGAAGGATTTTGTTTCGTTATCGTTTCAACATCGACTCCTCCAGCCGGGCATATCATCATAATCGGATCTTTAAATTGAGGATTCAAAACGTAACTAAAATAAGCTTCTTTAGAAACAGTCGCCGCTTGCTCAACCATAACCGTTCTCACTCTAAGCCCATTTTTAGACGTTTGTTTCGTAATCAAATTGTGCCCCAACATTTGTTTTATAAAATCCCTCGCCTGATCTTTATTCGTTGTCACTTGAACGCCGCCCTTCAATCCATCTTTAAAATAACCCAAACCACGTCCTCCGGCCGCCACTTGAGCCTTCACAACATAACGCTCAGACAAAAAGTTCTCAAAGTCTTTATAACCCTTAACTTGATCGATCGTTATAAACTCGCTCATCTTTAATCCTTCACCTTTTAAAATTTGTTTACTTTGGTATTCCATCAAGCTTAAATTTCGAACCGATTTTTGAAACGTTTGATGAATATTTGTGGCGAAATTAAGTTTTATGAGGGGATAAAACATTTTTTTTTTTTTTCGTATATGACAAAGTGAAATAAAGAAAAATAATAAATTTTATGATTTTGAAATTTTATGTCAAATTTTGTGAATGTGTGCTAAATTTCATTTGATCTAAACTTTGATATATTATTATGGGGTCACCCAATTAATACAAAAAGCTCTACTATTTACACCTGCTGCAGATAAACCCAAACAAAGTAGAAATAGTCCCACTCGGAAAAGAAAGCTACGACAGCCATAAGGTTATGTTTAGAAGCAGGGATGATTTGATGAAGGATGAGCCTCAACTCAAAAGAGAAGTCTTAGTCTGGTACTGATTCTCAAAGTTAGTTGAATCCGGAGTTGGGATCAGAGGACCAAAAAGCTGTATTAAAATGCTTTTAAGCTCCGTGACAACCATTTTTTAGGTTGAAGTTCTTGCCATAAACTTCTGCATCATTTTGAACACAAAAGGGGAGTTATGGTCGCTCTCTGGTTTCCTGAGACGTCCCTAAATTAGCAGCTCTTCAACATTGGACATCTCAAACACAAAATTTTCGGAAAGGTTCACCCATTGGCATAAAGGAACAAAACTTTGGAGTAATACTAAGGTTCATCAAGGACCTAGATCTGTCCTAAGCCTTTGGAGGGCGTCATAATAAAGTCATATCAGTTCCTTCGTATTTTGTACCTTGAAAAAATACTTTTGTCCACGACTACCTTATAATATATACCTTATAAATGAGTTTTCTCAAACAAACGGGTAGTCATTTTTCGCAGAGTGAATAATCATTATTCACGGGTAACCAATTTGACAGACTATAATAATTATTTGAAACGTCAAAATTTAAAAAAAACGTCAATTTAATTTAATTTTTTTAGTACTTTTAAACTTTGACATTAAAAAAAGACATGATGTTTCATAAAATTGACATTTAATTTTGACAAATAGTTGTGAAGTTGGTTACAGTTAGTAGCATTGAATTTGTGTCACATTGACGTTTAAACTTTATTCAAAAATTTATTTAAAAAAATAAATTAATGGAATCAATTTCAATAGTAGTAGACAAAGTATAGTATTCTACTCACATATAATGAGCTATTATTCACTCAGGTGAAATGTGTTGCTTTATGGTTAGTTCGATAGTTGTACACAGTTTACAGATTTCTGTTTTATTTCTACAATTAAAATTAAAAAACTTTTTTAACTAATTGTTAAAATAAATAATTTTAATCGTAATATTAATTTTTAATACAATTAATTACTTTTAGAATCATATATATAAATAATTTTCAAAATAAGTCGAAATTATGTAACTGCAATTTTTATCAAATACATCAACATAACCTCAAAGATAACCTAAAAAAATGGTAATAATAAAAAATCTTAAATTTGTTGGGGTAATGTGTGGTTTAATAGGAGGTATAGCAATAGCAATTTATCCGATTGTAATCTATCCTATGATGAATATTGATGAATACAGTAAGTATTAAGAAACAGTCTTAAAAAATATGTCAATTTCTTCGTGTTTAGAAAAGATTCAAAAAGAAACACGGAAAGGTATTCGACAGGAAGATATCCAACCAGGAAGTAAATATTAATGTTAAAAATATTCAATGTTTAGTTTATAATTGTTAATTTTTAGATATGAAAGTATGGACGGATCCTTTTGATCGTAAATAAGAATAGGAACATTAAGGGACTACTAAAAAGTTGATTTAGCTTGATTTAGTTGACTTTTATTCATAAATAAGACCTGTTTATTTATAAGGATGATTTAAAATAAATTAAGAATACTAATTATTTTCATATCTGATAACAAATCTAATCACACTTTTTATTCAAAGTAATAGCATCTTGAATATCTTCTTTTGGCATATCTTTATCAGTCCATCCCCAAAGATTGTGGGTACCATCTCCGGTCCTTTTAACCCTTTTTTTAATCATATCTTCTGAGACTGTTTTTAAATCGTAAGCCCAACCAATTTTTGCCATAAAATCGATGAATAATGTAGACATATTGGTGCTGTATTTTCCTAATTCTGACGTTTTATAATCCCATGGGAAGGTGTGATGATAATTATGCCAACCTTCGCCCAAAGCCAAAAGAGCAACACTAAAGTTTTCACCCGGATTAATAAACCTATAATTTACACATCAATATTATTTATACCACAAAAATTAGATATTATTATCTTACTTGTCGTATGGTTTATCCCCAAACATATGGGCAACTGAATTAACCAACCATGTAATATTAAGACCTAAACAATAACGTAATAAATTCAAAACCCAAGCGTTTACAAATCCTTCATTCCATAAATACATGGGGAGAACAGTTGGAAGGACAAAACTGGTAAAAATCATTAATGGAACATAATGTTTTTGTTGGAATCTTAAAATTGGATCCGATGTTAAATCGGAAATATCAACGCCTTTTCCCTTTTCTTTTACATCGGGATGACGACGAGTTAAAAGCCAACCAACGTGCGAAAAGAAGAAGCCACGTGTTGCATTGTGTGGATCTGCATTTGTTTCACTAAATTTATGGTGAACGCGATGATCACGAGCCCATTCAATAGCAGAATTCTAAAATTTTAATTTTGTAATTTTAATTAAATAGAAAACAAGATATTTTTTATAGTTTCTAATATTTCTGGTGGTTTTATGACTTAATAGCAGCCACATAACGAACACCCATTGAGTTGTAAACAGGTAGTTTACGAACCCCAAACTCTGGCGTGAGTTGTTCAGGTCCGCATTAACGGAAATTACAAAAACTTATTACATTACTGTTTTATTTTGTTGAATTTAAAATAAAATAAATAAAGAAGTGTGTCCCTGGACCTAGATCGCTATCATAAAGTAATAAAGGAGGGCCTATCATAAATCATGTCTAGGTACTACTACTGTTTCTGAGGGTCGTAAAAACCACCAGAAATATGGGAAACTATACCTGAAAAGCTAAAGTTTGCATGATGACTAAAAGAATTTTCAAGGGAGTTTTAGCTTTGTACGATTTGTGAGACCAAAGACGATGTGCGCCGCAAGTTATTCCCAAATTTCCCATGTTTAGAAGAATAAATCCTAAATTAAAAAACAGTTTGGTAAAAATTTAACTAATTATTTTTTATTTACCTAAAATAATAGTTAAAAATTTGGCCGAAGTAAACAAAACATAAACCCCATAAAAAGAGACAACGTGAAGGTAAATATATAAGATAATGTTCCTCCAAACGTATTTGTACTCTCTTGGTTTCGTCTCATGATTATTAATATTAACATTTTGAGTATCAACTATATCAGTTTCGTGTAAAACTCCTGTTTCATTCGGTGGCATTTTGATATATTTTCTTCAAAGCTTCTAGAATCAAGTTAAATTAAACAAAAAATATATAGACGTGACATTAAAAACGTAATGCGAACGTTATTTAATTGTACTTTTAGTTTATTTTTAGACTTAGTTTAACACAAAAGCCAAGTTATGCAAACAACAAAATTACTTAATTAAATATAAATCAGAATAAACAACAAATTTGTTGGTGATTTAAAATGTTTCTTTTAATTTTAGATTTCACTTACGCAATAAGTAGCTTATTTACCCCAGAAAAAATTATACTTACAATTGGTGATTTAAAATCGACTACAAAAATCTACAACAAATTAAGATTTTTTAATGCTTAGTTTAATTTACGACGTGTTATTGCTAAAGAAGTCTAAAACGTAAATGGATTGACTCCTTCAACTGTACACGTAGCCGCACTAACCACGTGGATTAAAAAAGACCGGCAATTGGCAACGTTTTTATTTGACCAGTCCGCAATCACCTGATCGTCGACTAAAATTGGACTAAAATGGTTTACAGCGTTTACAGTTATGTCTCGGCGGACAATTTTGGAGCCATCTAACGCCATGTTACGAAGACTGATATAAAAACGTCGCTAGACTTGGAAATGAATTCTGCAGCGTCTGCGAATTTTTGGTTCTTATCTGATATAAATGCATAAATGTTTGTGTAATCTGTTAAATTTCGAATGAAAGTTGACCTTCGGAAACAACTCATCGATGATTCAACATCGGTTTTTCTAAAAAAAAACGGCTTTTAATAAAATTATGGAATTATTATCAGATTTAACTATAATCAAATGGAATTAGAAGTTATCTAGAAAACTAAATTGTCTGGATGTTGAAAACATCCTAAAATATCCTAAATACATCCTAAATACATAAAAAACGTTAAGTTTTGAGGATTTGGGTCTTATAAGTATCTTGCCTTTCTAAGGTATTGGAGCATTACTTAGAACTAGGAACATCCGTCGCTTTTAGTTCTTGAGTTATAACCGGATTTGATGTCAAAATCGCAATGTTTGATTATTTTGGAATTCTATCTGTTCTAAGTTGCGAATAATCCATGTTGGGTTAATTCGCTTTATGGATTATAATTTTTGGATTAATTGGCAATGTTTTTTGGTAATAACTAATTGTTGCATAATTATTACTTTTTGAGTTATGTTCTATTTTGTTGTTAAAATCGTTCAAATTTTGGAATTTAGAGCTTTCTATGCCTTTTGAGTTGGTAATAATCAATCCTGTTTTAATTATCTTCATGATCGTGTTTTACAAGATCATTTAACATGTTTTTTTGATTATAACAAATCATTCCTACTTCTTGTGTGATAACCGGATTTAATGTCAAAAACGCAATATTTAAGTATTTTGGAATTCTGTCTTCTTCAATTCTGAAATTGCTAAATTTGGCAATTTAGAGCTTTCTATGCTTTTTAAAGTTTGCTGTCGTCATTAGGATTTAAAATTTGTAGTAAAAGAAGAAACGTCCATGTAACAATTAATTACACAATAAAAACAAGGATTAATGTTAAAAAAGGGGCGATCTTGATAATAAAAATACAATAGAAAATAAGTTTTTAATTGCATTTAGAATCATCTGTGAATGAGGACGCGGTTACTTTCGAAAGAACTTTGCTTGTAGTACATTAGATAATATTTAAGATATCTGTAAACTAATTTCTAATTAATTTTACTCTAAACGACTATTTAAAGTCAATTAACTGCGATTGCTTTCGTGAAGGTGGTGCGTTTAAAGAGAAATTGAGCTTTCTTTTTTTTGTATTTAGTTAAACATATCGCAACATTAATTTAATACGAATTCTTTGGATTAGTTTAAAGGTCCTTAACATTGAATTACGATAACGGATTTTTGTTCAATTATTCATTCAATACACGTACGCAATCATTAGCATTCAATAAAAGGATGCATCAATAATTTACCGTTTAAAAAAACTTCACGTTAAAATATTGCTTAGAAAATGTTAAAGTTCATGGTCTAGAGTCTTTTTTATTTAAATTCTTAGCAAAGATGTTCAAGGATTAGTTTAGATCTTGAACTTTTTTTTTTCTTAATTAACAATTTAAAAAAAAATATAAAATTATTTTAATCAATCAGAACGTGCAAACTAATAGCCTTGAAAATTGCAGAAATTTTATGTTCGGATTCACTCGTTGTTAATTAAATGTTTTAAATACTTGGGTAGTTTCGTTTTAAATGTGATTTCGAGTGGAAATTATACTTTCGAGTCGATTCTGAAACCCAACAGGAGAGGACATACGTTGGTCCCCTCCTATAGGTTAAGTATTTAATAAAAAGGAAAAGAAACGTTCTGTAGTCGTTCAGTTCAAGACAGGAAGAGGTGTGTTCAACAGTTTGTGCGTTAACTTGAAAAAATATTAATTAATTTTTATTAAATTAAAAAAACTTTTTCTTGTGTAATCAAACAAAATGAAACATTTTGGGTTAATAATCCTTTTAAGTTTATTAGGTGAGTATTTTTATATTTAAAGAAATATCTTCATTTCTAAAAATTCAAAGATCATCTTTAAAGATATTTAGAAGTTATATAAACACGAACAAGGTCAAATTCCTTTTACCCTTTATTCTGGTTTCTGATTCATAATTGAATGGAGATTATTTTTTCCATAAAATATCACCAAAACCAGTTAGAGTAACTCTCAACGCTACAAATTGATTAATTCATAGAAAGTTAAAGTGAAAGTACTTCTTGGAACTCTCTCGTCTCGAGTTCCACAACGAGAAGATAGCGAAATCTCGCTAAGTATGCATCTTTTTTAAGCTTGAATAATCTTACATAACCAAAGAGATCGAGTTTATTACGTTAAATTAACTTAAATTATTCAAATAAATATGATTTCTAATTATCTAATATTTATTTCTCCGTTTAGACGTTTTATTTGTTAGAGAAAGTGTGAAAAAGATTTCCTATTATTTTCTTTTTTTATTCATTTTGGTATTTTTTACCACCTCGATGTAACTATTCGGTTACGTAAATTTAATCGCTCCCACGATAGTTCTTTCGTTCTTATATGGGAAACTGGCGTTGTTTTCTCAAGGATACGAAAAAAGTCTACAAAAAGGATGTGGGAAGGAATCTCGAGTCGCTCTCATGGACCTGATGGTCACGATTGATACGTATTATAAATTGTGTGGTCAGTGAAGGTAAAAGGTCTCTTGGGTCAGGTTCATGTCTCATAAATAAATGAAAATCAACTAAATAATTAATTAAAATCCCTTTGGCGGAAAGCCAAAAGGATAATTTTATAAAAACACAAAAGAATTGCTTGTTAAGTTTGTTAGGTCATGGATTTTAACACTAATTGCTCAAAAACAGGAAGGATAAAAGATTTAAATTTGCATCCTGTACGTAATCGTTATGTAATAAACATTTTAATTAAGTTATTGTGTTTCAAAATCTTATAAAACCACCGTTAAAGATTTTACACAGGAAGTGAAAGTATTTAAAGGGTTTTTACAAAAACACTAACTAATACATAGGAATTTTAGAACAGCTTTGTTTTTTGGCCTCTTTTTACAACGTTTATCATTTTGATTCAAGACTTCTTCTGCGCATACTGTATGTATGCGCAGAAATGTCCAGAACTGTTTGGAACTTCACAACTCTTGAACGAAAATAGGCTTAGTCTCTCGACTATGTTAGTTCCTCGACCTTAAGAGATAAATTTTTTTTTCAAGGTATTATATCTAGCCAACAACAAGAAGATGCGTGTAAAGCAAAATCACGTGTAGTTCCTGATTTAACATATTGTGACCGATATTGGGAATGTGTAAACGGTCAACCAGAACTTTATGATTGCCCGAATGGTTTAGTATATGCAGGAAAGAATCGTGGTGTTACTGAAGGATGTGATTATCCATGGAGAGCAAATTATTGCGATGGAAAACAACAAGCCAGTAAGTTCAAATAACAAATCTAATACAAAATGTAATCACCCCAATGAAATTTAGATCCTCCAATCGGCACGGATCATTGTGATTGGTTATACGGAATTTTCGGACACGAAACTTCTTGTACGAGATATTGGACTTGTTGGAATGGTACCGCAACTGAACAACTTTGCATCGGTGGGCTTCTATATAACGAAAAGACGCATTCTTGCGATTGGCCTGAGAATGTTGATGGTTGCCAAAAACATCGTATGAAAAGTTACTCACTTATCTCAATTTTTGTTAATTTTCTTATTATTTCAGCACTTTGTAATGATGATGCAAATGGAAATGTGCCATTAGGAAAATCTTGTAATAGATATTGGCAGTGTCAAGGTGGTTATCCTCGCCTTCAAAGATGTCCTGCCATGTTAGTTTTTGATCGTCGTTCGTTAAGATGTGTTGTACCCCCAACGGAAGATTGCGATGTCCCTACAACACCTGCAGCGCCCCTAGAAGAAGATGGAGAACAAAATTTACCGCAAGGAGTGAAGCCAGAATTTAATTTACCACCCGGTGCTTTACCCATACCATCCAGACCGAATAAAAATCGAAATTAAAAAGAAAACACAATAAAAACTATAGTAAAGTTAAAAAATTTACTTTACGCTAATTCTTTTTGTTTTTAATTGTAAATATATCATTTCAAAGGTTGTAATATTCACAAATTCGGTCTAAAAAAAATTTGTGAATGTTTAACATCGTAATTATAATGTTTGTTATTATTATTAGTTTTTATTATTAATAACTTAGATTAATTAATAAGATATGTTTTTTTTTGTAGTAGATGTAAATAAATTTTTTTTTAATTTAAATAATCCCGCTTTATTTACCTTTTTAGTGGCTCCATCTATCTATTACGCAACACACCTTTCTTCTAACCTAGAAATTAAATTAACGCAAAATTAAACATCAATTTTTAACAATATGTTCAGGTAAATAAAGAAACAAAACCAAAGCAACCTTTTTCGGCATCAACCTGACGTTTGTAAGGGCTTTTTGTTAAAAATCATGAAATTTCTTCATAATACCTTATTAAAACTCCCGTATCAATAAAATTAGTTGTAAGTTAGAAAAATATTAATTTATTGATTTGTAGGTTCGCTATTAAGTGTGGATTAGCGGGGGCAGCTGTATATTACGTTTCCGATCAAGGTGTGTGGAAAGAAAGCAAGGAAACCACCAAGTTGTACAACAAAATCAACGATTTCTTATGCCCCTACATGAAACAAGCCCAAGCTCAACTTCCTATTGAAATTCCTGAGCTTCCAAGTACTGGAAGAATATCGTACTTAATGAAACAATATTGGAACCATGGTGTCACAGCTACTTTTATTTATATAGGAGATTTACCCCAAAACGTTACCAAATTAACGAAATCGGGTATTGATGCTATTAAGGGTAACGAAGAGATGAAAAAACTTATGGATGGGTTTAGTGGAACTCCTGAAATAGAAAAAAAATAATTATGTTAATATAGATTTGTTTGTGAATAATAAATGAAGTAAATAAATCAAGTTAAAGAAAAAATTAGGTTAAGTTTCAATTGTCATTTTTTTTAAATTAATTAAAGTATGAATTGATTTGCAATAATAAAGAGTTACAATAATTATTACGATAAATAAATATACATTATTTAAAATAAAATAATAAAAAGAAATCTAGGGATATTTCGTTTTAAAACCACATAACCGCGTCGTGTCTTTTTAGGTTACCAAAATCTGTCACGTGATCACAACGTTGTTGCAATGGCGGAGGACAAAGATGTGATTGAGAAGACCATCGCCGAAGACTTGGTCGTAACCAAGTATAAAATGGCTGGGGAGATCGTTAACAGTGAGTTTTATAACCCTTACGTTAGTTAATGTCGCCGAATTAAAATTAAACGTCTCCGAAAAACCATATGGTCTTAACCCGGTTTTACGAGAAACCATGTGGTTATCTAGTTCCAAGTACATGCGTGTTTTCATTATATGAACAAATCACATTTGCAGGGGTCCTCAAGCAGGTTATTGACAAGTGCGTCGTGGGGGCTTCCGTTCGCGAAATATGCGAATTTGGCGATCGTCTCCTTCTGGATGAAACCAGCAAGGTTTTTAAGAAGGAAAAGGACCTCAAAAAGGGAATTGCTTTTCCCACATGTATCTCTGTTAATAATTGCATTTGTCATTTTTCGCCTGTACCAAGCGAACCTGACTATACATTAAAAGATGAAGATTTATGTAAAGTGTAAGTATTAAAAAAAATGAGCTGTCAAAGGGGTAGTTGACATTTTAGGTTAAGTTGTCATAACCTAAAAAAAATTAAAATTTTTATGATGAGTTTTTAACTCCAATTGATCCAACTGAATAAAAACATTGAAGAAATTACAATCTGAATATAATTAATTTTATTATTTTCAAAATTTTGATAAGATAATTTTGATTATAAAATTTTTTTTTGTTTTTAATCCAGTGATTTAGGTGCTCACATCGACGGTTTCATTGCCGTAGTAGCACATACAATAGTTTTGGGTGCCTCAACAGATAATAAAGTCACGGGAAGAAAAGCTGATTGTATCACAGCGGCACATTACGCCTCTCAGGCCGCATTACGACTCTTAAAACCCGGCCATGATTCATACGCAGTCACCGATGTCATTCAAACTGTCGCAGAATCGTTTAAATGTAAACCAATTGAAGGTATGTTAAGTCACCAACTGAAACAGTTCAAAATCAACGGTGAAAAGACGATTATTCAAAATCCGAGCGATGCTCAAAGGAAAGAACACGAAGAGTTTGAATTCGATAAACATGAAGTTTATGCGATGGATGTTTTGGTTAGTACTGGAGAAGGGGTCGGAAAAGAAGCTGACGCGAGAGTTTCAATTTATAAAAAAACCGACGAAGTTTATCAATTAAAATTGAAAGCATCAAGGATGTTTTATTCGGCCGTTAGGACGAAGCACGGAAATATGCCGTTCAATTTGAGAAGTTTCGAGGAAGAAACTAAGGCGAAATTGGGCGTTGTCGAATGTGTTAATCATAAATTGATCGAACCATTTCAAGTGCTTTATGAAAAAACGGGTAAATATAAAATTAAATTAAATATACAGGTGTTTCTGTCAGTTGTGGCATAATTTTAATCGCAAATACTAGAATTAAAACGATGGCGATTCGTGTAATGGCCCATAAATGCCAAAGTTTAAAAATTATTAAACATTTTCTTAAATATTTTCAATATGGTTTGTCTTAGAAAGATAAAATTTGGCAAACAATGCAATGTTATCATGAGAAATCGTTTAAGATCACTTTACAGTGTCCACAAAGGTTATTTACTTAGAACTTTTTTATAATGTTGTAAGCCCTTAAAATTTTCAACTGATTCTAAAAGCCTATTTCATTCTAAAATGATTTTCACTCTTAGAAATTTTTGATTACACGTATCGTTTTAGAGTTATTCATCATATTATTATACAACCTTGTCCTGAAATACTACTGCACAATTACTATTAAAATTGATTCCATAAATTTATTTTTTTAAACAAATTTTTGAATAAAGTTTAAACGTCAATGTGACACAAATTCAATGTCACCAACTGTAACTAACTTCACAATAATTATAATGCCAAAGAAATCTTCAAGGTATAATTAATGTTTGTAAACAAAACTAACCTTACCTAACATTCCTTCACGCTATAATTGACATTACAAAAGAAAACTTCATGGTATAATTAATGTTTGTAAACAAAACTAACCTTACCTAACATTCCTTCACGCTATAATTGACATTACAAAAGAAAACTTCACGCTATAATTGCCATTACTAATTGCCAAAGAAAACTTCATGGTATAATTAATGTTTGTAAACAAAACTAACCTTACCTAACATTCCTTCACGCTATAATTGACATTACAAAAGAAAACTTCACGCTATAATTGCCATTACTAATTGCCAAAGAATACTTCATGGTATAATTAATGTTTGTAAACAAAACTAACCTTACCTAACATTCAGCGTCTGAAGACACAGGGCTAAACCCGAAACTTAAAAATATACAACTTAGCGCTGAATAACAATTAAAACTAGAACTAACACTTGCACTAGAACTATACTCTGTTTTTAAACCAGGAGGAGTAAACGCGAAAGTCAGATTTACACTGGAAAAAATCACCAGAAAATATCACTAGATATTTTGGCGGTAAATTTAAATTAATAATTATTATTTATTTATTTACTTATTATTGTATTTATTTTCGTTTGTTATCGTCAACACTATACATACAAATTAACATTGAAGTTATGAGTGTATTTATTTCAAAATATAATAAAAAAGGGTTTAAGAACACAAAATATACAATAATGACACGAAACTGTCGAATTATCAATTACCTAACCTTCAAATTCAAAATTCAAAATTGCCTGTGTGTGAACCTTCCTCGCATTCAACCAATCACGTGCAAGGTCAATCTGGTGACAAATTTAAAATACTCCTCCTGGTTTAAAAACAGAGTATAGTAATTAGTATAATAGTAATAATATTAAGATATAATTTACAGATTTTTATTTCGAAATTAAATTTAAAATTAAATTCTTTTTTAAATATTTATTTACGCCATCTAGTGGTCATTAACCACATTAATCGTATTTTTGACATTTTACAATTTTCTTCATATCTTAAGATTCTTTCAAAATTTTTCGAAGATAAAAGTTTAATTGAATCGAAAAACAATCAAAGTGTTTGTTTAAATACTCGAAGTAGTTATTTGTAGTGATTTAAAATTCAATGAAGTGTTTTTAATGGCCAAATTAATTAGGAAAGTTTTGACAGGTAATATAACCTCACTTTTTTTTAACTTTTATGGATTTTGAAGAATTCGGGCGAATTATTTAAGAAAAACAGAGTAATTCGAAAAAATGTATAAAGTTGTTTTTTAATAAGCTTTAATAAGTGTCGTTTAAGCAGCCTGCGATTTTCCTGACTTGTTGGCATAGGTGCTTCCTCTTCAATATTACCGTTACTTGATAGTTCAACTCTCAAGTGCTCTATTATGTTCTAGTTCACTTCTAGCTTACATCGAAGTGGCTCTTTCGCTGTTGTTGATTTTTTTAATTCAAAATTAATAATAAATACAATGTTATACTCTGTTTTTAAACCAGGAGGGGTAAACGCGAAAGTCAGATTTACACTAAGAAAAATCACCAGAAAATATCACTAGATATTTTGGCGGTAAATTTAAATTAATAATTATTAGTTATTTATTTACTTATTATTGTATTTATTTTCGTTTGTTATCGTCAACACTATACATACAAATTAACATTGAAGTTATGAGTGTATTTATTTCAAAATATAATAAAAAAGGGTTTAAGAACACAAAATATACAATAATGACACGAAACTGTCGAATTATCAATTACCTAACCTTCAAATTCAAAATTCAAAATTGCCTGTGTGTGAACCTTCCTCGCATTCAACCAATCACGTGCAAGGTCAATCTGGTGACAAATTTAAAATACTCCTCCTGGTTTAAAAACAGAGTATAGTTCTAGTGCAAGTGTTAGTTCTAGTTTTAATTGTTATTCAGCGCTAAGTTGTA